GCAATACTAACATATATTTATTAATATTATATTATATAAAACACTAATTGAAAAGCTTTGTTGATTTAAAAATCCAAAGAACTACCTAAAATACACTACAGACAAATTTAGGTAGAACTTATTATCTACTGATAATATTACTTATAGATTGTAATTTTCAATGGGTAGGTACGTAAAAAAACTATAGAAGGTAACTACAATATAGTCTCACCTCACTCAAAAATAAAGATTAATTTATTAATCCTATAAATTTATTATAAATAGTACTTAACCATATGAATACGTTATGTCATCAACTTTAAGTCTTTAAAATACTTTTATTAAAAAAATATATTTTTAAGTACCTATTATCAAAATAAGTAGGTAATAGGTATATTATGGGTACTAGAAATGATATGGCATGAGTGGATTTTATTATTTAATATTTAAAGAACGCTTAAATTTATGTTTATTTTAAACATGATTCTTAAATAATAATTAGTTTTACTTCTTGTGTATACAATACAATATCATTATACATTGATCGGAAATCACTAGGTTCCCTAAATACAGGTAGTGTACTACTGCTACCCCTAAACAGTAAAAAAGTGCTAACCGTCGCTATTTGCTACATTTATGCTGCAAGTATTACACAGTATTTATTAACTTCGTACTGTACATTAATATCGCACACGACAAATATTCTACGCAGTACTGATTCACAAGTATGAAGTAGACAATTATATAAGCATTGGTGTGTCAAGCGGTGCATAGCTCTTCCAGAATTATTGTTGTCTATTGTTTATAGATGACTTTTTTTTTTGTGTAAACAAATGTTATAGTATGTCGTTTGAGTGAATACAAAATTTAGTAATTTTTCTTCCAAATTGTATAGAGACTTAGAACTTTTTGTGATTGATTATATGATTGGTAAGAATTTGATGAGTTAAATACTTATATGATGTGTAACTGTGTAAGGCACTTCTTTTTTCGATATAATTTTAACAGTATTTATATAAATTGAAATTTAACAATCTCTTTATTTTACAAAATTAGTTTTATCAAACAATTATCAAGGAAACCGATATTATTAGGCACTGTGTCGTATACGCCGATCACTCGTACGTACACAATAAATTAACAAACAAAATAGTTCAATGAGTTTATTACTGTGCCACGACTCGTGGACCTCTTCCTGCATATCTTAATATCTACTCCCTTATATACTAATTATATTTTTGACATTATTCTAATTATTTCATTACCTATCATAAAATTGTCCTACTTCTAACATTATTATTATCTTAACCTAGTTACAAAGTAAAAACTTATACTATGTTTTCTACTACTTGTTTTCTTAACCTAATTTTTAAGTACTAACAATTGTTGTTGCAATAATTATTATAATATAAATATATATTACCACAACTGTTATGGGCCATAGAATATTTAGTATATTTTAAAACATATACATATTGTACGGTGTGGTGACACATGTTCTGATTATTTAATAAGACAAGACAATATGACTAATGTGAAGTCAGGGCAGATATTGTGAGCGTTGTAATATTTTAATAAAGACAATTGAATTATGATCGCGTATCGCTCACTTCTTAGAAAAGTCGAAACTCTGAGAGTGCAAGAGTCGACAAAAATAATAATCAAATACGAGAGTCCTCGTGTCATCGGAAGTCGCCACCATCACAATTGGTTCTTTGTCAACCAACTATTTTTAAGGGAGACCAGGGCAAAATCTCTGTAGAAAGTTAGGGATATCCAAGACGCTCATAGGCCGGTCGTAACACCACTCACACTCTTGTTAACAGTATTTTTGGAATCAGAACGTAGCACCGCTTATAAACATCTTGTACCTACTTGCAATAGTGTATTTCTATATCTAAGTTTTAATTAAATAATATTTAATACATAAAGTATTTCATTTATGCGTTGATATATGATTCGACGTTATCGTCGGGATGCAACAGCACTTATCGGTTATGTATTGAATGAAAAAAATACTTACTACTATTGATTGCTATTTGGTTCAGTATATTTGTGATGGAACAATGAAAAAAGAAGATGATATATTTGTGATGTAAAATACAATAATTATATATTATGACATTGTCGAATGGTATAATTTTTTTTATATATTAATAAGGTATGTAGAGTGTAATGATTGCCATCTATCGACATCGTACATTATTCCTTAGGTAGAGCACGCGTTGCTAAAATGTTGAGTGTGAGGAATGGTGAGCGAGGCTGACTGCTGACCTTAAGCTTTTACTTTTTAGGCAGCAGTCTGAGATATATAACTATTATCAATACGTATAAAAGGAAAGTATGCAACACGGAGTAGAGACAGACGGCGAAGAAGACTCCTCGACGATCCGTGCGGCCACCCTCAATTATCCTCACTCACAGCACGTCAAAATCTACCAGGATCGGTAACCCATATCATATATATATATATATATATATTATTAACAAATTATCTGTTAAAACCTAATATACGTTACACTTATAACACTGCGCTTTACTTAAATAAGGTAACCCTGATCTCTAATATATTAATATTAGACACCAAGGTCGAGTTCTCGAGACCTCGTTAATAAAAAATAAATCCATCGGTAGGGAACGCAAGGTCCGCGACCGCTCAGTGAAGAGGGAACGTTACAATTGGTGGAGGTGCTGGGGAAGTGTAGGCGAGTAACTTGAACCGGTGTGTGTGCACGAGACGTACTCGGCGCGGCGAAATCGACGTGTTACGCGCACACGCACACTAGGGTTAAAAATTACTAAGACGGCATTATTAAAACGTTAAACAGCTCTTATTTCTCTACAAGACGAAATAAGAATGAAAAGAGGTTTAATAAATGCAATAGGTGAATTTGAAAACTGGGCATTTGGAGTAGTGGGAGATAATAAATATCAGGAAATACAACGAAACTTTAATTACTATGAAATTGTATGTAAAATTAGTACAATTATCGTTAAATCAGATATCATTTGTATTGTCAATAACATCAAAAAATTTCATAAGATTACAGTGAGAACACAACGATTTGATTAATAAAATTAATTATAAGCAAAATGATCTAATGAAATTTAAAATAAATCCACAATTAAGTAATTATTTAACAAATTTTAATTTTATCATGACAAGTTTTTCGCTCGAAATGGAAGAATTATTAAATGAATTATTATTGACACATAAAAATATACTTTACCCAGTAATCCTCAATTAAATACAGTTAAAAATAATTCTGGAAAATATACAATACGAGTTATCTTTAAATCAAGTTTTACCATTAAACATTAACATAAATTCATCTTTAGAGGAATTTATGAAACTTGTGACTATAACTACCAAATTTTCAAATTTTCAATTATTATTCATCATAAATTTTCCAATATGTACTCCAGAAATTTATACTTTATTTCAAATATGACCAATGCCACAATTGAGGTAACTAATTCACAATTTATGTTTATTTGACCAAGTAATCCATATTTAGTAATTTCGCAAAATACTTGATATTTTTTATCCTTTTCTAATGTTGACTATAATAAATGCACACTAGAAGTTATTATAAAATATTGTGAGTTAGACATGTCGGTCTATTTGGGAATATATCCACTCTGTGAAATTCAACTACTTAAGTTAACTAATAATACTGTACTTCCTAAACAATGTGTCGTTCACTATATTTTCCATAATTATGCTTACTTTAAGAAACTTAATACAAAAAATACTTTTTTTTATTGAGTATCAACAACAATACAGACCATTCTGGTTTATTTTGCATCAACGACATTCCATATTTTAAAAGGGGCATGAACTACAAAATTACCAAATACATGTTCATTAGTCATTACATATACACCAACAACAATACTAAAGGCATTGGAAGATAAAATCAATAATATTAATATATCAGTTAATATAAACTCAGGTATTTCTTTATTAAATGTTTCCGAAGTAGGTTTAAAAATAGATAAAATAAAAAATTCAAAAATACATTTAAGAAATAGTCATTTTCAAATTCCAAAACTATAAGATTTACTCCAATCTTCGCAAAAATTAGACGATGTTATTAGAGACATAAACAAAGAATCAGAACACACAGAGTATAGTAACTATCAAAATTGGCATGTATATGGACTGTATTTAGTGAAGGGTATTATGGGTTATTTAGTTATACATAAAATCATTAGTAAAAAAAAAAAATGAACTGTACCACTTATGTAAGTAACAAAGATAGATAATATAATTGTATTCATTTCCATCATTGAAAAAAATAAAATATAATTGAGCACTTAATACCTAATTATCATATATAATATGATAAAATAATATATTTTGTTGGAAAAAAAATGTGAATATATAATTGAATAACACTTAATAATTTATTAATGTATGACTATTACATAATATATTTTATGAAAAAAAAAGGAATTAAACAGTTTTGATTGTCAAAAATAGCTTTTAAGAACAAATTGTATACAATATTATTTTAATTGTAAAAAAAAAATTTTTGTGAATATACGTAATAGTTTTTAGGGCGAAAGAAAGGGGTAAGTGAGGACAACCGTAGTGAGTGTCGGTATGAAGAAAGGAAAGAGCTACCTACTACACTCCATCTACACTTACGTATCGTGGTCTTAAAAGTTAAAAAAAAATATTATAATATATAATATATAATACAATTTATATTAATCTAAAATATAAATTTGATATCATACCATTTTTGTCAAGTATTTTATTACATAATTTTCCTCATAAACTGAATGATGGTATAAATTAGTTGGTATTGTTTGTTAAATAAGCGAAATTCAGTGGATTTGTATGATTTCATGTTAACAGCTGCAAATAATAATTACCATTGTTAATAAATTAGATAATCTGAATTGAATTAAATCAAAAACTTTATTGTAAGATTTTGAATGATTAAATAACTTACCATTATTTTTATAAATACGGACAAAGTAAAATTCCTTTCGGTATTGTCGAGTTATACATGTTGACTTTCATTTTTAGGCTTGCCTTCAATATCTGAAAAAAAAATACATATATTAGTTAGGTATATTATGTTATCATTAAAATTTATAGATAAATAGATACTTACTACAAAATATGCTATAGGAATTTACTAACAGGAAAATAATTTTTGCCATCTTCAGTAAAAGCTAAAAAAAAAAAAATAACTTTTAATTAGAATATTATACAACATTATTAAATTATTTTTTATTAAGTTTTTCTTCATAATAAATAGTAAACCTAACCACCACTTAAATTGTACTTATGTCATGTTAATTACATTAGTTATAAGAATAAAACGATAACATATAACTTATTGTCAAAAATTATTTATTTAAACAGACCAAAATAGTTGGTACTTTTATGGTAGGTATTAGACCGAATTAAACTTACAGAAAAGTGCTAGGAACTTTCATAGTATTTATTAAAATCATAATCAGAATCAAATTAAAGTACTTGCTTACCAGTTCAGAATTCAGAATATTGATATTATATAATGATAGACTAATATTTTGATATTTTACCAAAAATATTACTGTTTTATTATAATTTATTATAACATTATTTAAGTAATATATAACCGTAGCAAACCTTAACTTTGTAAAATAATTTTTATTTCTATGCATTTTTTATTCTGCATATTTAACGGACAATTTTTTCTACTTCAGTAAATATTTCTAATATTATCCTAAAACAATTAATGCATTTTTGAAAGGCATAATTTTTCCCAATATTTTGAAGTATTTTCGTTTTCCTTTCTCGTAAAGTTCTAGGATAAAACAACAGTCTTGACCATCAATTAACGAAATGCTGGTAATGACGTAGAAGGTGTAACTTAAATCGCGAACTCAAAATTTGAAGGATTATTGTTAACTAAGAAGGAGTATTAAGGCAGATCGAAAAAAATTTGAGTACATTAAAAATGTTCAGCTCTAAAAATAATAAAATATGTTTATCGTTTTTCCGTGACGTGTACTTTTTTCGAAAATTTATAACACGATACGTAGAATTAGCACTTTCAATCACGGAATTAAGAGGTATTTAAAATTAACGAAAATTTCTACAAAATGAACGTGAATGATCGGCGCGCGGACATTGGAGTGTTTTTGAAGATGTTAAACAGAAACGTCGAAAACGCCGTGGCTACCACCTACACGATGTCTGCAATAATTGAACGCACTAGTACGCGCGTATAACACGCACACCATACCGTATTATCACATACCATACCTACATATTATTATATACATAATTGCGCATATAGATGGTTCTATTTAAATCACAGGATGCAATTATTTGTAATACGATCATAACATTACAATGCATAACAATGCGTAATATTAAATGCTCGAGCACACTCATCGATCGTCGGCTCCGACTTAAATCGGCAAATACGCGTATTATATTATATTATTATCATTACGTATAATAGTCGTGCGTGCGTAGGTACTGCAACGACAACGACGCGTATAAGTAATAAGGGGACGGGCGCAGTCCGTACATGCAGTTGTACGCGGCGCGCGTACATTTATATTATGTTACGACTTCCGCTGCAATTAATTTTTCATTACCCTGTGGCGGCGCGTGCGACCACTGCCGTCGACGCGTGTCTTCCTCGATTAATAATATCGTATCCGTAGCGTGGCATGCATAGAAACGTGTACGTATTTGTGCGTATATAAATTATTCCGTTGGCCGACGCCGCAGCGGCACGTCGCGTTTCCGCATTTGGCGGCAAGTCGCGTGCCACACTCGCCGCCGCCGTTGATGGGTGCCTTTGGTCGTCGTCATCGCCACAATCGTAGTCGTCCTCGTCCTCGTCGTCGTCAAAAGCCCCGTCTGCCGGGTAGTTCGCCACATTCGCGCGGCGCACGCACGCCTGCACTCACGCGAGCCGCCACCATCGAGTATTCCCACAGGAACGGGCACGCGAACGGTTTCGTCAGTCCGTGTATATGCGTGTGTGTCCGGACAAACCGCTATGGACGTCGTACTTTCGCACGCTCGAGTGTCCAAACCCCGCTCTGCCGTGTGATCGTCCGTCCGGATAATCGCCGTTCCTCGGAGGTAGGGGCTGGCTGGAAAACCAATTTCGTATAATACCTACAGGATCGGTTATATTATTATGTTAGGACGAGCTGGTAGTAGTATAAAATAGAGAGTACTGATGCGGGATCATTATGATCCTTATGATCCTTATGATCCTTCTGATCCTTCTGATCACCGACGGCACCTCGCTCACGTGCGCGACATGAATTTTCCCCCACCACTTCCCCCCCCTCTTTCGCAGTCGTGTACGTACGCGACTTTACGTACTACTTTACGTACGACTCTACGGAACTTTATTATTATTGTTATTTTCACCTATTTAACTTTATAAATTTAAAAATATTTAAACCGCAGTATACTGGTCATATTATAATATCATTAGGAGACTTATAACTTGCAGCTGCGTACACAAATAATATCGATGAATACAACATATAGGAGACATTAAGTAGGCATTAGTGAATAACCGATATTAAGTCTAATAATTGTCGCAGGTATTGACACGTCAATCAAATAAATACATCAATATATTGCCGTTAGATAAAATACCAATAAGATTATTCGATATGTTAATTTCGAAATTCGCACGACTCGTGTCGCCAGGATGTGATATACTTATTGATATTAAAATACCTATTTTAGTGAAAAACACATTATTGTCCGATATTAGTACCTTCTGCCGGACGTAGTCTTTACTACCTATTTGTTCGGGCAACACTGTCGCTGCTCTGTCATACGTCACGACGGGCGTCGAACATTCACGCACTTCGACCTTGTCCCCCCCTCCCTGCTCAGGATTGTGGTGCACCGCGGGCTATCGCCGTCAACGGTAAACCAGTTCCGTGTGTGTGTCTCCGCTGACGCTTGTCGTCTTTTGTCAGCCGTTATTTTTATTTTGTGTTTTTTATCGCGATTGCACCGCTCGTTCGCCATCCGCAGGTTCATCGCGTCGACGTAAGAAGTGACCATCCCTTCGTCCGTTGTGCCTGGCTTTGACCTCCTTGTGTCATCGCTCCGTTTGTGGTATCGTTCGTGCCCGAGCACATGTGGTCTACACCCATTTCCGTCGCGCCATTCTCAAACTATTCAGTTTCTTGGGCTTTTGCGTGTTCGCGTTTCTGTTAATTCTCATATTAGTGCCGCTGACCGCTGTTATTAACTAGTGCGGCCCTGTGCGCCCATCCCCGGGATTCGTGATCGGTCGGGAGAGATTCACGTGGAATCTTCAGTGTCCATTGTTGTCCGCAGTTCGCCGTTACGCCGTGAGCGCTGCACCAGCCAGGTGTACCAACCCCCGCCTCTGACGGCATGCACGTTAGTGAAACTTCCGGTCATTGGTAATCAGTCGGTACCTGTCATCCTCGCCGCCGTCCAGGAATCAGTTGTGGCTGTTATCACTGCTATCATTGACGACCAGATAAGAGATTGTTTTGTTTTGTTATCATTTTGTATTCTATCGCCATTCCTCATACTTTAGGTCATTGTTAAGGTGTGATCACACCCCCCTGCCAAATATTGTATCATTTTACTAGTTTTGTATAATAATAAGTTTAACCTCGTGCCCAAGCGCACATCTTGTAATTTTGCATTATATTATTTTTTTCGCACCGTAGTGGTTAATAACCTCCTCCTAACTTACACACAGGCTAACTCATCGGAAATAGACGCGCCGCGAGTATCGCTGTGGCCAGCTGACGATCTCGGTTCAACAGCTCCACGGCGGTGCGCAATCACTATTCAAATTCGTCTTTATATATTCTGAAAGAGCCAACAGTTCTTCAGTACGTTTTTAACCGTTGTACACGTATACGCTCCGTCTCTAAAAATTTTAGTGAGTTTAAAATTTTTACAAGTGTTTAAACATTTTATTATTTTTCTTTTCGTTTTCATTTTAACCCTACATTGCACATTGTATCACCTGTGATACAACCAAAACATATGGTGATTACTGCTGTTTATCAACAGTTACTATTTGTGCGGTTGTCTTGTTACCTTGGTAACATATTTCTAGAGATTATATTATCTATACTTTTTAACCGCCAAATTGAATGTTATCACGAATTCTGATAAAGTTAATCAGTAATAAAAATTCAAGAACAGTGATTTTTAAAAGCCATATATTTTTGGTTTATAATGTTATTAAACGCTTAAAAAATATTTATAAATTGTGTATAACATCTGTAGTTAACGTTTTTGTTGTTAAAATCCAAATTAGTAGTAAGTATACAGTTATTTTCGAATATTTTTAAATGTATCACCTATGATACACTGTGCAGTAATGACATACTTGTACTTACATATTTATATATTTATAACTGTATTATTGATATTTTACAATATTATTTTATTTAGAAATGAGGGTATTAAAAAAAGGCTTAACTGATGAGGAATTAGTTGAACTATTAGATTGGAATATTAGTGATGATGACCAAGATGGGTCTGATATAGAAGATTTAGATGACTTAAGTAAATGATTTATTTTGTATTATATTTATCTGATTTAACTTTAATTTTAATTTAATGTTAATTTAAATTATTTAGATAATATTGTTGAATTGTTTGATAATGATGACATTCCTTTAATAATCAATAATGACAATGAAGTTACAAATGACTTTGATATTCTCAATTTACCAGTAGATTTTGGTGAAACCCAGCTAGATTTTACAGAAAATACTTATAATTTACCTACTGAAAATCAACCAAATAATGTATCCATACAA